AACGAGCGGAAAACGACCGAGAGAGGAGCCTTTGAAGTTGGGCATGTCGCACCCTTGTGCCGCCCAGGCTCGACGACGCGCGGCGCCACCTCGGCACGGTGCTCGCGGTGTCCGTCGGGTCCGAGGCGCTCGCGGCCGTCGACCGCGTCGCGCCGGCGGCGGCGCCCGGCGACGAGGGCCGGCGCGTCGCCGTCGCCGGCTGCCGCGGCGCGGTGCCGCGGTGCCTCGGGCACGCCGCGGGCCTCAGGGCGGTCGACGTGAGCGCGTGCGCGCTCTTCGGCGTCGTGCCCTGGGAGGTGCTCGCGCTCCTACTCCGGGGGACCTGCAAGGTGCACCTGAACAAGTACGGCGCGGGCGCGCGGTCGAACCGGCTCTTCCTGCCGCGGCGCGACGCGGGCTGGCGCGGCTTCCGGGACCTCGCGGCCATCGACCTGTCGAACCAGGGCCTCGCGGGGCCCGTGCCGCCGGCGCTGCCGCGCCTCGCCGCGGGCCGGCTCCGTGACCTCGACCTCACGCTGAACCGGTTCCGCGGCGACTGCCCGCCGGACCTGCTCCGCGCGCGGCTCGCGCACGGCTGCGCCGTGCACCTCGACGAGAGCTCGCGCCTCGGGCCCGCGGCGCTCGGGGGCCTCGGCGAGCTGCCGGACCTTTTGCGCGCCGACGCGTCGTCGCTATCGCTCGCCGGCGCCGCGCCGCGGGCCGCGCTCGCGGGCCTCGCGCGCGTCTGTGCCGAAACCAACCACTGGTTTGGGTGGTCCTGACCAAACTTGAGAATTCTCTAGCTCGGTCAAATCGAAGTCGATTCGGCTGATTTTTGGACGGATCGATCGCTCTCGTCGAGTTCTCGAAGCCCAGCCGAAGAGCTTGTGTCAGAACATTCGAATACGCTCATATTGAAGTCGGGTTGAAGATTTGGTTTCGGCACAGGCGCGCGTCGTCGACGTGGACCTGAGCTACAACGCGCTAACGGGCTTCCTGCCGAGCCCGCTGCCGGCGACGCTCGCGACCTTTCGGTTCAGCAACAACGCCTTCGAGGGCGACCTCCGCGCCGTCGCGCCGCTCTGCGGCGCGGGCGGCGCGCTCCGGCGCCTGGACGCGCGCTACAACCGCCTCGGCGGGGTCGTGCCGCCAGCGCTCCTCGCGCTGCGCCACGCCGGCCGC